GTTTCCTTCCTGTCTTCCAAACCTATGTCGGAGGGCTGTGGTTCTAGCCCAGGCGAGGCAGAGGAGTTCATGAGATGTCATCTCCTCAGGAAATGCAAGGAAGCTGGCCACAGTGGTATGTGCCTGTCATCCTCTCAACAATGAGAAGTCTGAATAGGTGGATCACAGTCCAGGCACACATTGGGCGCGAAGTAAGATCCTATCTCAAAAAACAAAACAGCAAACACCCCAGCAGTGGAAGTGTGGCTCAGTGTTTGAGCATCTGCCAGCAAGTGGGAAACCAAACCTCAGTACCAGGACTGCTCCCTGTGCCCTGCAAATACAGACAAACACACATATAAATGGGATAAGAAGAAATAAATCCCGCCACTGTTGTGCTGCACGTCTGCAGCATGGAATTGCAGCGCAGAAGAAGAGCTGCTGAGTATTCTCATGAGCCTGTCACCCTTCTCGGGAAAAGACTCTGATTCCACAGAAGTCTGTCTTTGTGACAGAGGCGCTCACCTGTCTTTCTTTATTTCCTGCTAGTCTGTTGAAGGAGCTAATCTTACCAGAGAAGCCAACTTAACCACCGAGCGCAGCCCTGCAGTTCATAGAAATCCATGAGGAGAATCACTTTGCACCATTTCCCAGGAAGTTGGATGCTTAAAACATAAAACTAGGCAAAGGCGAGAGGCTCCCGTGTTCACTCGCATTCAGAAGCTGCTCCAGGGAAAACGTTGAGAAAGGGGGAGAGGTAAGCGCTGAGCCAGTGGCCTGCAGGAAGAATGCCCTGTCCAGGCATGGCAGATGCCACTTTAGACCAGGGGCACGCTGGAATCTGACAGCAGAAAATTGCCTTTCGATCTGCGGAATTTGCAGCCTGTTCTCCTACAGACAGAATGTTCTGTGAGCTGAGAAATTTATTTCTTGGATGTGATACTAAGCATGCTTTTGTTTAAACTGTAAATGGATCCATGAATCTGATGGATCAGAAGAGACGGCAGGAAGGACTGCAGCGGGGCATGGGCAAGGAGTCTGGCAGGCTCCTCTGGGAGGCGTCCCGCCCCCACAGCTGGTGCTGAGGAGTGAGGGGTGTCTACCACGTGACCCGTATCTTCTAGTCTTTTTTGTGGGTCATGAGGCTTGAACTCAGGGCCTGGATGCTGCCCTGAGCTTCTCCCCTCAAGGCTAGCATTCTACCACTTTGAGCTTTGAACCGTAATCCTCAGAACTCAGCCTCCTAAGTAGTTAGGATTACAGGTGTGAGCCACTCCTGCCTGGCTCTTCTGGTCTTTAAATTTTGGGGGTACTGGAATTTGAACTCAGGGCCTCCTGCTTGCTAGGCCAGTGTTTTACCATTGAGCCATGCCTGCAACCCTTATTTTTTAATTAAGTTTAGCAGCTCCAGCCCCTCTTGCTGGACTGTGGATGCTCACTCTGTGTGCTTGAGGGGTTCTGAGGACGCCTTGGTCCTGCGGACCCCTGTCGCCTGCCTCCTCCTTGTAAGACATAGTTCATGGGCTTATACCTCATCTCCCTGCTCTGGGGATGTCTTTCTGGTGGTTCACAGATCTGACAAGTAGGCAAGGTAGCAGACTGTTGCCAAGCACAGAGCTCTTCTATACAAGGCAAATGATTTCTTTTAATTCCTTGTTTTCCTCTTTTACCCTCCCTCCCTCTCTCCCTCCCCTCCCTCTCTCCCTCCATCCCTTCCTTCCTTCCTTCCTTCCTCCTTCCTTTCCTGCCTTCTTCCTTCCTTCCTCCCTGCCTGCCTCTCTTCCTCCCTCCCTCCCTCCCTCTCTTCCTTCCTTCCTTCCTGCCTTCTTCCTTCCTTCCTTCCTTCCCTCCCTCCCTGCTTGCCTTTCTGCCTTCCTTCCTTCCTTTTCTTCCTGTCTTATTTCCTCCCTGTCTTCCTTCTTTCCTTCCCTCCCTCCCTCCCTTCCTCTCTCCCTCCCTTCCTTCCTTCTTTCCTTCCTTCCTGCCTGCCTGCTTGCCTTTCTGCCTGCCTTCCTTCCTTCCTTCCTGCCTGCCTTTTCTTCCTTATTTCCTCCCGTCTTCCTTCGTTCCTTCCCTCCCTCCTTCCCTTCCTCTCTCCCTCCCTTCCTTCCTGCCTGCCTGCCTGCTTGCCTTTCTGCCTTCCTTCCTTCCTTCCTTCCTTCCTTCCTGCCTGCCTTTTCTTCCTGTCTTCCTTCCTCTCTGTCTTCCTGCCTGCCTGCCTTTGTTTCTCTTCAGGCACACTTTGCGCACCTGTTCAGGCTGGGGCCCAGGGAAGCTTGGCACAGGGTGCTAACAACCAGATGAATAATCCACTGAGTCATTTCCTTTGAGCTAGCTGGAGGCATGAGAAGGAAATTAAAGTTTTTTTTCCCCTTTATCCAGACAGAGCAGTTAGGATGAGAAGCTTAAATTCTAGGGCTCACTTTACTGTGTCACAATAGCTGACACAAGAATGAGCTGGTTCACCTGTCCTTGATTTTGCACCTTTAACTAGAACAGGGTGTGGAGGCTGAGTGTCTCCTGGGCAGAGCCTGATTGTCCTTTCAGCGTGAGGTTGGCCAGTTCAACGCTTGTGGCCGTTGTTTCCTGTCTGGCATGTCGTGGCGGGCAGGGCAGGGAATGGGGGTTCTGTGAAGGACAGAAGGTCAGTGTGCTCCATCTGTGCTGCCTAACAAGAGCCACCTCCAAACATTCCCCACACCTGCCTGGAATTAATTGCAGTTCCCTCTGTGTGGCGGGAGAGAAACCATGTACTTAATCTGTATCATATGTCACAGAAGGATTCAGACAGACAACAGCCAGGAGTAAGAGTGAGAACTGTGGATTTCTCAGTGACTAATGGCTGAAGAGTAATAGGAGCACAGAGAAATAAAACTCAGAGGAAAGAAATCAAACATAACAGACTTAATCCTAATATAATTGCATTAAATGTAAATAATCTAAAGACAGCTATTAAAAGATATTGAGTGGCAGAATGAATGAAATGCCTGAAATAAACCTTTTAAACTATAATGCTGTATGTAAGCTAATGTTGAAAAAGTAGAAAGAAGACATACTTTTCTAATGATAATAAAAGAAAACTAGTTAGATATATTAATATCAGAAAATGTAGACTTTAAAACAGAGATGACCAAAGCTTGACAAAAGCATCTTACAGTTCATCAAGAAAACATAATAAACTCAATTATGTGTATTACAAACAGCAAGAGATTCAGCATACTGGAAGCAAAATCTGATGCGCTGACACACATTATAGCTGGACATTTCCATACCCTATCTCAGTAATGGATCAAGCTATTAGCTATAAAAAAAAATTGGAGGGGGCTGAGATTGTAGCTTTGTGGTAGAGTGCTTGCTTAGCATGCATAAAGCCCTGGGTTCCATTCCTCAAAACCACATAAACAGAAAAAGTTGGAAGTGGCCCTGTGGCTCAAGTGGTAGAGTGCTAGCCTTGAACAAAAGAAGCTCAGGGACAGTACCCAGGCCCTGAGTTCAAGTCCCAGGACTGGCAAAAAAATTTGGAAGGATTATGCTTTATGTACAAATTGGCCAAGAGTTAAAATGTTCATATTTGGTACCAGCAAAGATGGATAAGATGATGATGATATGGAACATAATTGCCCTAGATGAATACTTAACATATTATGAGTCTTTGCATGTTCAGATGATATTTCAACCCAATATTTCATTTTAAGGACTCTTCCTTAAGGGAATGAAAAGGTACAACATGGATTTCTTTAGATCTTCTGAACAGAGCTTGAGAGATAATGAAGGTCAGAGACATCTAAACATGCCCACTCATTGGCAAGAACTTGAATTATTCTCTATTCAAGCAAAGTGCCATTGCTGACATAACGCTGAGGCTCTACCATACCATGGGATGTGGGATGGCTTTAAAGTAAAAAAAAAACAAAACAAATAGCATGTATACAGTTGTGTACATAAAGAATAAGTTAGGTTAAAACATACACGTGTATAGAAATTATAAGAAGAACTTTAAGGCAAAACTTATTTTGTATTTCTCATTTGCTTCTTCCCCCCTTCATTTTCTGTGGTGAAAGGTCAGAGTCGTGGTCCAAACCAACAATGACCTGCACCCCCCAAAAAAATCCACAGCATTAAAAATGAGATATTTGAAGAGTCTACACTACAGTGTGAAAGCTAGACCAGAGAAATTCAACAGCTGGCAAAGTTCTTATAATTGACTTTGAAGGTGAAAGCGGTAAGGAATGATAACCATCATTAGCCTTGAGTGATCATCAGCCTTGGACTGCTTGTCCCTGTGTCACTGACTGGGTGCCCTACCGTTCCCCATCGCCTTGTGCTTCCAGGATGCTGACGCCCAGCCCGAGGGCATTACCTGGCCCCTATATGTCTGTGTAGGACCCATCAAACCATCTGGTCTCACTGTGCATAGGCAACCACTGGTGAGGCCTGGAATTCAATAAATCTAACAGCTTTTGTCAAATTGAAATTCCAATTCTAGGCCCAAGGATGATAATATAGATAGCCAGATAGCTCCTGGTAGAGAAAAGCTTCCCCACTCCTGATTGCATGGGCACGCTAAGTACGCTGAGTATAAAACAAAACAAAACAAAACATACTAACCAGGCCTTGGTAGCTCACACCTGTAATCCTGGCCGCTCAGGAGGTTGGTATCTGGGGACTGTGGCTCAAAGCCAGCCGAGGAAGGAAAATTCGTGAGACTCTTATCTCCAATTAAAGACCAAGAAGCCAGAAGCAGAGCTGTGGCTCAAGTGTAGAGCACTAGCCTTGAACACAAAAGCTCAAGGACAGTGCCCAGGCCCTGAGTTCAAGGCTCTAGGAGTAGAGGCAGCATGCATGTGTGTGCGTAAATTAAACCTGATAGCTTTCTTGCCGTAGTCTAGGCCGTGTTCTAATGCTGTGTTCTGAGTGTCTCGTTTAACCATCTAAATAGCCAAATCATCTTCATTTCATAGAGACATAGCAAGTCCACATTAGCAAAAGCCGGGTCTGGTTGTGAGTGACCTTGTGCATACCTGCGTGTGCTTGAGTCCCGGGTGTGCAGGCAGGGGTCTGGCGGGGCCGCTGGGCACGCGTGGGGCCTGGCGCAGGGGCAGGGGCAGGAGCACTCGCTGAGGAGATGGTGGCCGAGGCGCGGCTCGGGTGTGGAGGGCTCTGCTGACGTCAGCACCCGGACACGGTGGCCATCTCTTGTCCTGCAGGGTGAAAGCGGAGAGCCAGCCCATTAGGGGTCACAAAAAGTGTCTGCGATCACTAAAGGTAGAGGAAAGAAGTCTGGGGTGCCTAGAGGGGGACTCTTTTCTTTTAAATCCAAAGATTCCAACTGAAATACACCTGTTCCCCAAATCTGGGCTAGAGAGAGGGGTTGATTTGTATCTCTAAAAACGGTTGAGTTAGGGATGTGGTGCACCATTATAATCCCAGCACTCAGGAGCGGAGGCCGGCAGACTGCAGGTTCCCAGACGGCCTGGGCTATCCCAGAGAGACTCCGTCTCGGTAAACCAACAAGAAAGCAAACAAACTAAACTTGTTCAATTAGCAAACAGGTGCAGGTCTTGAAGAAGTACCAAGAATGAAGACGCAGACCAAGCAGTCCAAACGTGATCCTGTGGGGGACATTTTATATCCAAACCACAGCAGAGTTCAAGGCTCAAGAATTCTTGAGCCAGATGCCAGGGAATCATACCTGTAATACTAGCTCCATAAGAGGCTGAGAACAGAGGATCGACAGTTGAGGCTAACCCTGGCAGAACCGTTCTAGAGACTATGTCTCTGATCACAGTGGCCTGTGCTCATCAGTGAAAGCTACCTGGGAGGCTAAGATCAGGAGGACTGTGATTCCAGGCCAGCCCTGGCAGAAGAGTCCTTGAAGACTTGGCCTCATCGAGGGAGGCTGGAATGGAAGGCTGACACTCATCAAGAGCATGGTACCCATAGACTGATGTGCGGAGTTGACAGCCCTTTGCGTAACTACCTAACCATTATAAACTGGGCACAGCGGTACGTGTCTGGTGGCAGCAACTTCTGGAAGACTAAAGTAGGTAGATGCCTGGGCAGGAATGAGATCCTATCCTAAAAATTAACCAGCTGAAAAGAGCACTGGAGACATAGATGCCTACCAAAAGCAAAGCCCTGGGTTCAAATCCCACTACCACCAGAAAAAAAATTCTTGTGGATACACTAAAAAAAAACCCCAAAACAAAACAACTTGGTAAAATTAAATATGAGAATATTGTCTACCAACGGCCCTCCTCACGCCTAGCGGTCACCTTTGGAAATCAACAAGGGGCCCTGGGGTGAGGAGCCCGCTCGGAATGCTTTCCTAGCAGAACCCCTGCAAAGGCAGCTCATCTTGCACCTTGGAAGATCTAGAAGGGGGTCACTACAGAGACTCCTGTAGTTCCGGACCATCCCAGAGCCCCTGGCTCAGTGAGTGCTGTTTGGAGTTACTGACCCAGCAGGATCCGGTTCCTACGTGTGGCACAGCTCACGTGTTTGTGGAACACTGAGCGTCAGGCCGGTTCAGCTTACCTTGGAAGTTCTGAAGCAGGGTGGCCTGCTGACTGGGCCTTTCCCGAGGTGGGCGGGGTGAGCCTGTCCAGGATGGGAGCCGCTGGCCGGCCGGGAGGGGCGCACACCCCTGCAAGGTAAAACCCGTACACGCTAACCAAGGGCGCCTCCCTTCCCCTTGGCTTCACTTTTCCTATTTCCTTTCCACCTGTTTTTGCCTACAGGTGATTCATATGCAAAGGTCGAATTATCTCCCCACTCTGAGGGGATGATCAACCATTGCCGTGTGTTCTCCAAGCCGCCCCTGTGTCACAGGAGCTCTGTTAATCTACGGAAGCGCAGCTTGGAGGCAGCTGCGAGGTAGTTTGTCTGAAGCTTGCCTTTCAGCGCTGATGTCTGGGTGCATTGCATTTGGACCGCCGGCCGCGCTCCCTTGGGAAGGGTGGGGGAAACTCCCCGGCAGGACTCACCCCCGACAGCGTTATTTATGCAGGAAACAGTGCAGGGTTTGTTTGAAGGGAAAGTGAAGAGCAGGTAGCTGGTCTGGCAGAAATGGACAAAAACCCAAACCAGAATACTCTGGAAAGAGGCCACCCGACACCCCAGAGGCGTCTGCCCCTCTGTCTACGAAGGACAATGAGGTGAGAAGTGGTTCGCTGCCTGTTCTTTCAACCGTCCTTTCTCAAAAGGACAGCCGGCCCCGCACAGGTACCTCAGCTTCTCCATGGCGGTTTTCTTATGCGTGAACAGCACTCGGATCAGGGCCTTCCTCTTGAGATAAACCACAAAGCCAGCAGCCAGGAGACACAGGACACTCAGCAGGACTCCCAGGGCCAGGCCGTGGTGATCTGAAACAAACCATGTTTGGCTCACAGAAGGAGGCCCTCGTCATCAACACGACAGACATCGAGCCATGACATTTATGGTGGAGCAAACTTAGAAGGAATAAACAGCAACGGACTGAGTAAATTCCCCAGGGACGGACTAATAAATTAGTCTTCCTTCAGAGGTCGTGTTTGAGGTTCCGTGGATGCAGCCATCATTCATGGCTGGCAGCTTGGGAGACGCCCCGGGCAGGGCACCAGGACCAGCCCAGAGCCACGGAGGGACCTTGGAGCGTCACTAATGTCTGTCTCCTCAGACCACAGCCTTCCAGCCTCTTCACACACCTTCACACACTCCCAGCTCCTCTCACTCTTTGGTGCTAGATTGTGCTTCATTTTTTTTCCCCTTTCTTTCTTTGTTTGGAGTTGGTTGGTTCTAGGGCTTGTTTTGTTCAAGGTTAGTGCTCTAGCACTTGAGCTCCAGCTCCACTTTTGGCTACTGGGTGGTTAGCTGAAGATTAGAATTGTACAGATTCTCCTGCCTGGGCTGGCTTTGAACCATGATCCTCAGACCTCAGCCTCCTGAACAGCTAGGATTACAGGTGTGAACTGCCCCTCCTCCCCCTCCTCCTCCTCCTCTTCCTCCTTCTTTTTATCAAATGAGACCCTATTTCTGAACATGTAATACTAGACAGTGAAAAAGAAGAAAAATCGTATCTTGAATAAAAAGCCTCTGGGCCTTGTTTTGCTGTGTGAGGGGCTTAATGTCGCAGCCGCCGGTGGCAATCTCCTTTCTCTGGGAGGAAGCTGTTTGTTTTCTGTGTTTTCATCACCTTTTCTGTGAGTTGATGCCTTCTGTTTACTTGTCGGGCATGTGGGAAGGAAGAGTGCAGTTAGCCCTGAGTCGCTTTCTGACTGGACTATGGCTGGAGGCTGAGTGAGGAGACCGGAAGTGCTAGGAAGTAGAGGAGGGTTACTTGGGTGCTTGGGCCTTCATTCAATCCTGTTTGCCCACCAGCAGTGTTCAGGTATGCTCCACACAGAAGGTGTGCACACAACCCTTCAGCTGCCGGGGACAGCGTGCAGGGGGCTTCCGTTACCCCAGTTTTCGCTCACCCTCTGCAGAGGGGCAGAGAGAGGCGGCAGCCCCTGCTCTGGAAGAGCCCCTTTGTATCTTGTGTTTGGAAACTCTCAAATCTGAGGCCTCACTGGGAACACTACATGCGATGCACACTGTAGCGCGAGTCTGTACTGGAGTGATACGCAGTTTGTGCGTTCTTCTCCAGCCTCCTTGGGTGATAATTGGGTCGACTTGAACAGAGACAGGCTGGGTGGCAGGGCCCTTGATAAAACACAAACGTTACACCAGGCGCTGGTGGCTCACACATGGAATCCTGAGGACTGTGGTTTGAAGCCAAACCTGGGCAGCAAAGTCCATGAGACTCTTCGGTTTAATAAACTACAGAAAGCCAGAAATGGAGCTGTGGCTCAAGGGGTAGAACATTAGCCTTGAACCCAAAAGCTCAGGGACAGTTCCCAGGCCCCCAGTTCAAGCCCCAGGATTGGCAGAAAAATCAAACCAAAGCAACAAAGTAATCTTTACTTTTTGTACAATAAACCCTTGAAAGTCCTATTGGAATATTACGTGGCAGCAAGAGACTGGTTGTCAAGGCTGAGCTGCCCTGAAGGGTAAAGAGGTCCCTGGGCCCAGCCCTGGCCTCCACCCATTCAACGGATGCTGGACAGAACGGAAGGCATTGTGGTCCTTTCCCACTTGCTGCACCTGAGGGAGGGACAGCGCATGAGCTCCTGGCCTCCTTCGGAGGGGAGGCGGCCGCACAAGTGCCTGCTGTCCCCGCCCTGAGCCCTGCCAGTGTTCCCGGGCCCCACACAGCACTGTTGTGTCTGTTGTCATGGAAACGATGGCAAAGCCACGGATTCCACACTGCCGGTCACAGCAGGCCTTGGGGAGGCCAGGTCCCCTCTGAGGCAGCATTGGTCACGGTTTCCTTGTCACCAGGGGCTGACTGAGCACCAAGGGAGCCAGGGCAGCGGCGCCCCCTGCTGGCGGCCTGACACCTTTTGCCTGGCTTCTACTATAAAGGGGAGAATGGCTTCGGAGGGGCCTTTGCGTCATGAGATGTGAACTCAGAGAAGGCCGTCCTGCACCAGTGACCCGAGGAGAAATGACCAGAGGGTCCCAGCGCGGCCGCGGTGGAGGAGCTTGCGCACAGGCTCCACGACGCTGGGGCTCTGGGGACAGCCAGCTTTATTAAAACCCCCGTCAGAGTTTTAGAAGGCATTGAGCCTCGCAGCCCGGGGACAGCCAGCTTTATTAAAACCCCCGTCAGAGTTTTAGAAGGCATTGAGCCTCGCAGCCCGCGGAGGTGGCCTGGAGGGGCTGGGTGTTATCAAGTCCTCGGAAATGACGAGGATGTTCTCAGTCCTCTGGAAGTCTGCTACACACACTGCGTCACAGGCTGTCGTGTGACACACACTGCAGCCACGGCAGAGTCTGGGGGCTTCTGGAAAGATCGGTGACAGGGCAGCGAGTTGGGCTGGGCCACGTGTGCGCATTGAGTGCGGGCTCACCGCTTCCCATGGCTGCTCAGCACCTCGCCCGGGGGTCCGGGCGCCACTCACCTGCTTGCCGGGTGGGGCCGCTGTCTGTGCTTCCGCCAAAGCCAAACTTGTCACAGAAGGGAGGCGCCCAGCGCGCCTCGCAGTGGCAGCTCTTCCTGTTGTTGCACACCTTTAAGACAGCAGGGGAGAGGGAGGGAGGGCAGCCATGAGGGGCACGTCCTCCTGAAGCACGGTAAGTCTTTGCGTCCAACTTGAGCATCGCAGCAGATACAAGATCACTGGGGTCACCAGCACCCCCCCACTCAGCGAACCTCACTGGCAGCACGTAGCTGCGTCAACGCCTGGGCCGGGGAGCAAACGCTCTCAAGACACCAAAGCCTCCCCGGCTCCAGCCTCCCCTTCTCGATGGTGACTCTCTGACTGTGATGGGCAGTGGACAGGGACCTGCATCAGGGGCCTGGGACATCAGAGGCCGTGCTTCAGCGGACAGGAGGTGGAAGGAGGCCGTGTGGCTCTCGGTCTCCCAACCAGCAGAAGGAGCAAGGCTCACCCACTGTCCCTGCTACCTGAGAAAGGGCACAGGGCAGCTGCTGCGCTTCCTCCCAGCCCGCCTGACACCTGCTCCGGAATGCCCACCTCCATCTTGCAGCCTGGGGCCTGTGGCCTTTCCCCGGCTCTCCCTTGTGAAGACAGAGGATGCCAGGGCCATGGCAGGAAAGGCTGCAGACAAGAAGTGGATGGCTCTGCCCTCGCTGAGCCCAGCACCAGCACCGGATGGAAGATGAGCACCCTCCACAGAGGGACCCAAGATGCCGAGGGACGGCGATGGCAGAAGTCCCTGAACCTACAGACTCACTATTGATACGTGTGTAAAGCAGGCAACGACTCCACACGCCAGTGGAGTCCCAGCACGAAGCCCAGAGTGCGTGGCTTCTAGGGAGCATGTCTAAGTTGTTCTTCACCGCAGGAAACAAACTATGGATCAGAGGGATGAGTTTCTGAGCAGTTTATATTCAGAAGTCGGGTGGGTACACTTCAATATTTAAAGGCCGAATAAAATGCTCAGAGCAGGCGTGCGCCACTAGTGATCACTTCCTGTTTACAGGGACGGCTCCCCGCTTTTTGATCGATCCAACCATCTGCCCAATTGCTCCTAAGATGAAGGCCGACTGTGGAGAAGAGCTGTGAAATGGGCGGTGCCTTCCTGTGGCGCTGTGACCAGGCAGGGCTCCCTCACCTGCGGTAAGGTCTGCGGAAGTCTAAGCCTCTTGGCTGATTCCTGGAAGGTACTGCTGACAATCTGCCCAATGGACTTTGCACAAAGCCCTGAATGGCCTCCCACTCAACATTCAGCCACAACCCCTCGCGCCCCCCCCCCGCCCCCCGCCCCCCGTGGCAGAGAAACTGCCCCACTCTCCCCACCCTATCCCCTCCCATGCATGAATTGTGGGAATTGTGGGAAAGCACTTGGAACATGATTTCTGTAGAAAAATAATTCAGAAAAACAAAACTGAACCACTGGCCTGGCTAATCAAGATGAACATGGTTCCATTGGAAACCATGGGGACAAAGACATTACATTTAAAATGGAGTCCTCTTCTTTCCTACAGACCTTTTGAACCAAGTAACAGCCTGTGAGCGTGTAAACCCATTGCGTGGTGTGTCCAAAACACACCGTCAGTGCAATGGCGGTCCTTGCTGCAGTCCCTTTCGGAAGAATTTTGGTTCAATGACACATTTGGAGCGTTGGGAGAGAGAAGGACAGTCCCGTGAGACGTGACAACGTGGGGCTGGGAAGGTGGCTGGCTCAGTGGTACAGCGCCTGCCTCGCACGCATGAGGCCCTGGTTCGATTCCTCAGCACCACATAAGCAGAAAAAACTGGAAGTGGTGCTGTGGCTCAGGTGTAGAGTGCTAGCCTTGAGCTGAAGAGCTGAGGGACAGCGCCCAGGCCCAGAGATCAAGCCCCACCACCGACCAAAAAAAAAAAAAAGGTGTCATTTCAAGTGGTAGAGATGTGACAACGTGAAGCACTCCATGAGGCAGGGTGACCCTTGAAACGACTCTGAAGACGGCAGAACGCTTTCGTGAAATCACAGGATGTTAATTTAAGAGATAATTACGACTCGATCTGATTTGCTTTGTTAAGATGGAAATGACATTTCTCCTGCCATGTAAAGGTCGGAAGCAATGAGTGTCCTCAGAAGAAATATCGAGAGGACACCACCCTAGCTAACAGACTTTAAAGAGCGCCATGGATGGCGACCGTCTTTCTACACGGAATGCTGTGCTCGGGGACCCTAGGCAGGACAAGGCAGCGGCGCGACTTACTCCCCGGCCGTGGCACTGCATGGCGCACTCGTGAACGCCGAAGACGCTGACGTTCTGGCATCGCCGGTTGAGGCAGATCTGAGGAAGGAAGAACAGAGCAAACGTCTCTGATGTCTCACCTCCCCTCCCACACGTGAGCTCGAAAACCCAGAGCAAAGCTTCAAGACAGCGCTTCCTTCTGCCAGGGCAATGTACCCTAACGGTGTTCTGTTTGGCTCAGCTGCGGGTCTCTACTGTCTGAATCCCAACGTGGCCCTTTTCCAAGACTCAGGCCCACGTGAACACTATTGAATTCTTATACTTCATAGTCTTAGCCAATCCTGAAACTGTAATGGGTGTTCTCACAAGGTGGGAGGGGGGTTTGCTGTGAATCCTATATAATGCAGCTTGCTGTATGTATGTATGTATGTATGTATGTATGTTGCTGGTCCTGGGGCTTAAGCTCATGGCTTGCACACTGACCCTGAGCCTCCTTGTGCTCAAGGCTAGCACCCCTTCCGGTGTTTTCTGTGTATATGGTACTGAGGAATCATACCCAGGGCTTCATGCATGTTAGGCAAGTCCTCTACCACTAAGCCACATTCCCAGACCTAATGCAGCATTTTATCTCCATTAAAAGACAGAAGGAAGGCAAGATGGGTTAGTCCCTTACCTGGGGAGCCTGGACAAACTCACAGACTCCAAGAATCCACAACTAAAGATCTTTGAGGGGCATAGTGAACCATGAGAACTTTTTCAAAATACTGATTGACAAGTAGGATCATCAGTGACATAAACCATCAACAGAAATGCTCAGCAGAGGAAAACAGGCCCCTTGTGCTTACCCAGACACTGCCGAAGTAGGGGAAATGATCTGAGCTTTGTGAAATGACCCTGGCCTGGTTGGAAGAGTCTGCCTCATTTCAAAGGTATGCGACAGACACCAGATCCTCTCTAGAGTTAGAAGCCAGGCTCTGGTGGCTCACGCCTGTAAGCCTAGCTACTCAGGAGGCTGAGATCTCAGGATCACGGCTGGAAGCTGGCCTGGGCAGAAAAAGTTCCTGTGAGACTCGTATCTCCAATTAACTACTCAAAAACCAGAAGTGGCGCTATGGTTCAAAGTGGTAGAGCACTAGCCTTAAGCAAAAAGAGCTCAGGGGCAGCCCCCAGGCCCTGAGTTCAAGCCCTAAAACTGCCAAAGTAAAAAGAAAAACAAAGAAGTTACAAGTTAGGAAGAAGAATCTAATGTGTAGAACCCAGAAATGCTTAGAATGTAGAAGCAGCCTAGTAGCCAAGGCAAGCTTTGCCATGGAGGTCACCATCAGATGTCACGAGCTCAAGGTGAATGCCCGGACGTGAGCGGCTCTGAGGGGGCGATAGGATCCTGACCAAGGAGACTGTCCTATTCCAGCTAATAAGAGATCCTATTAGGACCACAGGGCGTGGGTACCGCTTGGCTCGGAGCCCACCAGAGAGGCTAAAGACCATCTTCAAAAGTAATGGTGCCCTTGGAACCCCACTGTTTGGTGCTGGTAACCTGTACCTTGGCTTACAGGCAGCACTGTTTAATGTGAAGGCCTGAACAGAAGCAAAGGTGGGTGAGGGGTCCCACAGAACATGGACATACTGTGCTGTCACCTTTCCACCGAAAACAGCATCCAGTGCTGGGGATAGGAGGGGCCGGGGCAGCAACGGCTGGCATTCCTGACTCTGGGATTCTGTAAGGGGACAGAAGGGGTACCTGTCCTTCCTCTTTCGTGAGGGGCTTCATGATCATCCAAAAAAGCACTGGGAGATGATTCATGTGTACTTTTCCCCCTAAAACGTTTTATGAATTTGCTATCATTTAGTCAGATGAGAAAGTCTAGTAAAAAAAAAAATACTACCAGTGTAGCAGAATATGAACATCTCAATTTATGTCTCTAAAAAACCAGATTTTATTCTTCAACCTCAAATGATCTCAGGGTGGCAGCTCCCCTCTGGCTCACCACGGACGCCTCTTCCCTTCTCTCAACAGGGTCTCTGAAAGTTCAGCGACTCCCACTTTGTCCAGGTGAGAACAAGCACCGGAGAACGTGGTGCCAAAAGCCCAGCCCCGTTTCCAAAAGCAATACGCGCCACTATTGCATTTCTTCCCAGAGTAATTTCCTGGCTGGAAACCTTCCTGACAGTCAGGGTGAAGAAATGACTTATTAAACACAAAAGGGCTGGGAAGACGATTTTGACTCCCACTCATCTGTATCTCCCTGGGCAGACTGGGACCTCAGCTTTATCAACACTTTCTTCTAGGTCCAAAAGCCTAGATTCCAGAGATTACATGCTGAGGAGATGCAGATTTAGGAAAACAAGCCCATCTCAGCCCCCAGTTCTTGAACAGGCCATCCTTCAGCGGGCCCCGTTCCAGACTTATATGTATGATGCAAGTGAGAACTGGGGTCTTACTTTTCCATCTGCGCACTTGGTCCCTGCGAGCACAAGGCCGGGGTCGGGCATGTCATCGCCCAGGTACACATGGGTCCCCCGGCACAGAATCCGACCTCCTTCCTGCAGTGGGATATTTGTTTCTATGGAAACCGCATTGGTACCAATGACTGGTCGGCTGGCACCTCCTTGGCACTGGATTTTCCCACATTTAACATCTCTGGAAGGGCAAGAAGGAACAACTTCAAAGGAGGAAGTTTGGAGCCCACCCGAAGTCACCTGAGAAGACACAGCCATGGCGTGGCCGGAAGTGTGGACATCATACCTCATCTCGCATTTGGTGAATACGCTCTTGGCATCTTTACCACAGTTGCCATAGGGATCCCCTGCAGAGTTGACTCTCTCAAAGCAGATCCCGGGGGCAGGCTTAGCACCTGGAACAGAAAGCACAATGGCATCTTCATCTCTGGAGTGTGTTTCTGGATTTCTCAGTGCATCACCAGGCTTTAGGGCTGAGAAGAGATGTCCTCTGTGCTCAGAGAGTCTGTAGAATCTGACTGACTGGTGATGGGAGCTTGGAATGGCCACCGCCGGCTTACCACCCTCTTTTGACCTCAGTTCACGGCAAAGCCCACAGCTCACCGCTCACTCTCTTCTGGAGGCTTGCTATGCAGGGCCCCCGGCACGCGCAGCCTCTCCGGAGACGAGGCCTACCTGTGTGGCCAGATTCAATCTGGAGCAGGAAAGAGCTGGCTGCAGGCAAGGGAAGCTACTCTCTTCAGCAACATCCCACACAATTCCGGTGAGAAAGCGCAAGCCAGGGAAGGCGCCGAAGAGGAATGATGACTAATATGGGGAAGGAGGAAAGGAGGGAGACAGAGACAGACAGACAGACACATAGTGACAGACAGGGAGATACAGAGAAAGAGAGAGACACACAGAAAAAGACAGAACAAATGAGCAACACAGAGATCGTACACAATGCTTCCAGTCCTTCTCTAAGAGAAGACACTGGCTTCAATGTATGCCTATTTTTGCAAAGCAGACTTCTCTCAGAGGCTATGAAGTCTGGAGTCCTGAGTGTCATGACAGTTCCCAGCAGGGAACAGCCATTGTTAGCACGGTTTACAGCCAGGCAAAGACAGCATGTCAAGGAGGTCTGCGGCTTGGAAGCTCCAGGATTCCTGTGCATAATGGTATCCACTGTCACCTACGAGGAAGTCAGGCGTGTGTGGTGCGTCCTTCAGAACGCACTGCCCGCAGTGGGAAGCTGGGACTGGCCCACCTTCTCCCTTCTCTCCCTCGCTGGCCTGTGGGTTGCACATTTCTCCTAAGCTTCCCATGGGCAGGATGCCAACCTCCCAGAACCCAGATCTGACCACGGGGTTTAAAACGAATCAGAGTTATGAGGACGCAGTTATGACTCGTTCTAGTTTGTGACACGCCTTTGCTGTCTACCTTCAAGGTGAGGTATTAGATCCTGCCAGGCAGCATCCGCAGCCACCTTCTGGGGCTGTGAGCACCCGGCTAGAGCTCACCATTCCTATGCCCCAGTCACGCCCGCCTGCCACCGGCAGCTCCCATGGAAGCCACCAGGATTCTGCACCCGCATCATCCTGCTGAGCTTTACTGAGACTTCGGCTCTTCATGGATTCATGCAGAGTGAGGAATTACTGAGCTGCTTTATGTAAGGCCACGAAAAGATGGACATTTCAGTTCCAGAAAAGAGAAATGGCAGTTCCTCCATCTGAGAAAATGAGAACTTGGAAGGGGGGAAGCTCAAGAGGGCTACCGCGGGGGTACAGCTGAGCTTGGGCCGCAAAGGAAAGGGACTTGGAGGTGCCAATCGCGAAGGACTGCCAGCTCCTGGCCTCTCCAGACGTGGGAGCTGGTGGAGGAGGGCAGGGAGGGACAACAGATTACTTCACATGGCTATGGTATGTTAGCTACCAGCTCTTATTTTTCCTAGAGACAGAGTGGTCCGTCATGTTAAAAAGTGGGCTTGTGTCCACCCAGAAGACGTTACAAAGGGCAGAGTGGGGATTCAAAGCGGCGGCACTTGCAAATGCTGAATTTCATGTCTTCACAGTTGGTAGGCTTCATGTCTATCTCTTAGGAGGAATGACGCGTTTTCTTATCACTCTTATAGTATATCAATTTAAAGCCTTTGAGTTCTTAATAATGGAACACTTAGATGTTTTGCCATTATCAAGAGATAAAATTTAGCCTTTCAGAGGGAATTTTGATATCACACTGCATTTTATAATTATGTTGCAAGTGATAGACTTTAATTACCAGTTTTATCTTTGGAGTGATATAACTTACATTTGTAATTGTAGTTTGGAAGTTCCCAATGTCATTGCGTCTTTTGAAAGAGAGACGATGGCCTCTCCAGTGAAACTCATAGTTTGCTCCTTGTATGCTTTTACTTCAAATGATTCTATTATGCAAATGCACTTCTCCGTCGCTCATTTCCCCAACCGTAGTTGCTAATACCTACATACAAAGGCATTTGTACAAACAATTGGGACTCTGGCTTGTTCTCTCGGTCCTTTATTCTCCAAATCAGGCTTTGTATTCATCAGAAAATGAAGTCCCCCATGTTATCACTGAAAATGTTATCATTTCATCCCAACACTATGAACCAAAGGAAGGTTTTCCTGATTCCTAAACAATATGCCTCTTGGCAAACGCTATCCCTTCCTCCATCTGTAACCACTAGGCTTGTAGGTGATTAGTACATGCAGGGCCCCAGGTGGATTTCACTAAGCTGAGCTCGTATAAAGCAGCCTTGCAGATAAACACTGAATATTTACCAGCCCATAAAAATCATCTGGCCAGCTCACGCTGCATAAATCAAATGACACTAGATTCTGGTGAGTGATAAAATAGATAAACACTAGCATGTTCCAGGATTTCCCCAAGGTAAGTTCTGTGTGGCTTCAGGCATGTAGTTACCATATAGTTATCTGTGAGATTAATTGCCAAGCCAAGTTGTCAGTCACCATGGTAATGGTTTTGACAAACACTGGCAAAAGGAAATCTGCTGACTTAATAAAAAAAAATATCCAGCTGCATTTCAGCCATATCAACCACCATCCCAACAAAATCTTAGTGGACACTAAGACGGAATTGGACCAAGAATGCTAAATGCCAGCACTGAACTACCAGGGACATTTATGTCCTTGGGATCAGCATAGAAAGTCTGGAGATGCAAGATCTGTGGGAGGGAAAGAAAACTCCCAGCCAACAGGGAGATGATCAACAACAGCAATTAGAAAACAAATGAATGAATAAAAACTTCAAAAACTATTGTGAAAGTGTGTCACTTTGCCGTTTTGGAGTAGCAGGCATATGTTTTGAATTTTCTATCATTTCATTTGTAGAAAGATTTGGATGCAGGAGTATTTTATTGCAATGTAGTGCTGGATTGAGAAAAGCTCATTCCTAAAGGGAATAGTTAGCTGGAAGGAAGGGCTTCATCCGGTCAGTGTTAGGGTAGCCAGCTCTGGCAAGTGAGTAACGGACGTCCTGGATGTAACTGGAGAGTTCTGGATGACTCAACAAGTAAGCCAGGTCACTGGGGTAAGAGTGGCACTGCCGCCACAGCAAGGACTTTGTAACTCTGCCTCCCTGGAGGCCTCCGACTGACCCCATGCAAACATAGTCCAGACCCTAGACACTTACTGCTGTTGGGGGGAACAAAATACTGCGAATGCAGCCTGAACAGCATCTTCTTCCTGATGCACAAAAAAGCTAATTTATACTAACCCCTGTAACAAAGCAGTTCAATGCTCTCTATCCCGGACATCTGGCTGGCCAGAGGCCTGGCTGAGGAAGTGACCTCTGCCCCCAGGGCTGCAGTTGTCCCAAATCAGCAGTTCCCAGAGGACACTGATGTAGTCACCTCCTGAGCAAAGGCAAGGGGACTGAGGGAAGCGTGTGCATCTGGCAGAATGGGGCTCTCAAGTCAGCATCTTCCACATAGCAGGATGCCAGCAGATACTTAACGAATGAGAGAACGGGTGACAAATGAGGATCTCTTTTCTCCAAGCCACAGCCTGAGCACTACATAGACAGAGCTACCTACACTTGCCCCGGGTGCCTTATTGATCCCATCTGGATGCTAGAAATGCCCTTCCTCTTCTATGGGGTAGATGAGGTGTACCAGTTGTCTGCTCTCCTCTGTCCCACCCACCATCCATACAGGGGTCTTGTTTATAATCTCCCAAGAACTTGAGTGCCTTGCTCCAGAGTCCAGTGGCTCCTGCCAACCCCAGATGCATCTTGTTTATAGAATTTAGATTTACAAGGGGCTCTGCGTCAGGAATGGTCCCAAATTTGATCTACTAAATATGATAAGATTATTGACCTGATAGAGGCTAACAAAATGCCTTTGGAGCAGGCGGATTCCTAGATGTAATTTACAGCGGATGCACAACAGGCTGAGCACATTGCTGAGAGGAGCAATGTGGTCTGTCCAACACCAGCCCTCTCTACTCCTCCAAAAGGTCCACAGTTGAGTCTGCACTTGTGACTATGTCACCGGACATGGAGAAGGGGCTTTACAGACGTGATTAAAGATCCTGGAAAGACTACCTTGGGTGGCCCTGATATAATCACAAGGGTCCTTATGGGGGTGAGGCAGGAAGGTCAAGGGATGGACAAAGAGATGTGACTACCGACGCAGAGGCCAGGACAGTTTGAAGACAGAGGAGGAGCCAGGATCCAGGAATGCAGGTGGTTCCTGAAAGCTCAAGAAGGCAGGAAGACAGATGTCCTACAGACCTTTAGGAACAGCAGTCCTGCCAATACCTCCAAAACTATAGAATGATAAAATTGTGCTCCTGTAACTCGCGAAGGTCGTGGTTGGCTCAGTGGTGGCAGGAGATTCACAGAGTGAGGATTTTTTTTTTAATTTTTATTTTTTGCCGGCCATGGGGCTTGAATTGCAGGTCTGGGCTAACTGCTCTTTAGCTCAAGGCGAGCACTCTACCACTTGAGCCACAACGCCACTTCCAGTTTTCTGGTGGTTCACTGGAGATAAGAGTCTCACGGACTTTCCTGCCGGGGCTGGCTTTGAACCACGATCCTCAGATCTCAACCCCCTGAGTAGCTAGGATTATAGGTGTGAGCCATGGGTGCCCGGCTACAGAGTGAGTTTTGGCTGCCCCACTGCTATGAAGGGAGAGGTTTCCCTCATACCTGTAAGTGGGGGCAAAAGCCCATTCTAAGAGGCCACTGGTCCCGAGAACCACAGCTTGTGGTGGTCTTCCACATTCTCTGCTCTCCTGAGGAGTCTGTGGGTGATTTGTCCTAAGATGGGGCTGGCAGAGGCTCACTGGGCCCCAGGGTCTTGGGCCTGAGGTGCCTTCTGGACCTGGTTCCATTATGGGTTTGGCATAAGTGCAATGGATCACTCCTAGCAAACCTGCTATCTCCAGTCCAAGGCCTGTCCAGTGATCACGGAGAGGGTGGATGGCAGAGAAAAGAAGTAAGAGGGGTGGATCTGAGAAAGCTCCTCCTCAGGAATGAGACACAGCTTCCTGAGCAGCACCTTGGCTCACCCGGTCCACAAGGATTCTGAGAGTTGAAATAGGTACTCTTTCTGTCGCTCTTGTTTAGGAAAAGCGTGTCTGAGGGCTGGATTTCCTGCTGTCAGTCTTCCTATCTGGTTCTCTGCTGTGTCAGTCTGCCTCTTTCTCTCTCTCTCACCTTTCTTCCTCTCTTTTTCTCTCTCCCTCCCTTGTTCTCTCTCAGTAGGCAACTTGGAAAGGCCTAGTCCGGTGAGAGAATGAACACCAGCCTCTGTCACTATGAATCAAGGGCATATGGCCAGTTGAGTCACAGGGCAGAGTGGCTTAGAGAGAGCTGTGGAGTTCCATCTGACCTCACTCTGGAGGGAGGCCAGGAGTGACAGCCGAGCCGGGCACTACAGAGCACGTCTATGCACAGCTGGGATTGGGGGTGTGCCCTGGGGCAGAGCTTTCCCTGGAAGGACCTGCCAGAAGGCCTCTGTCTTCTCAGAAAGGAGTTTACTGACTGCAGAAGAGCGGGGAGGAAGATGGGAGGAAGGTGGGGGGGAAGGAGGCCCCACGGACACAAGAGGCCTTGAGGGTCCGGCACGCAGCAGCAGCTGCTGTCCCAGAGTGACCTCACTTGGCTGAAAGGTGTCTGAGGTCACTAAGCTATTCAAAGCCCTGTAGCTGTTTGAGGCGTATACAGTGAGCACCTTACCGGTCCTTGCCAGTACAACAGGCATCCCTGCTCCTGCCCCAAGCAAGTGATAGCTGGCTGGAGAAGTTGACCAGAGCTGAGGGGTGCTAGGCCTTCAGGATGGAGCCTGAGGACCAGAGGCCCCGGGCCTCCTTGTTCTACCAGCCCAAGTGTACCCACAGATGCCGTCCCCACGACCAGCCTGCTCAGGGAGCTCAAGGGCACAGGGACATCTTTGGCTGAACAATGGATCCCACAGCAGGACTTGGCTCTAAGACACGCTCTCCACACTTGCTCTCTGCTTCCACGTGGCACTGAAACCCCAGCTTCTATGCTTAGCCATCAGTTTCTGCTCTCATTTATTTTCCCCATCATTCCTGAAGCCAGAATCATCTCAGATTTCCCTCCTGCTGGAGTAGCTGTCTGAGCTCACTGGGCTCTGGGTCGCAGCCTGGCTGACCGCATGGCTTTGCTGGCGCTAGGGTCTCAGACCAGCACTGAGGTCACCTTTTAATTTCAAGCAAGCAGTAAGGGAAAGGGAAAAAAAGACAAAACACTGGAGAGTCCTCCTCATGGGATTCTCTAATGGAATCCTGGGAGCTGGGGACGGGGAGCAAATCCAAAATGGTTTACAGGGGTGGTTAAGGCCCCAGATCTCTGACTCTAGAATGGAGGAGTGGAAGGTAGGCACACACACAGTGCTCCACGCCTTCCCCTCTGTCTCTGAGCTTCTCCTCTGACAGCTGTCGAGGGACTTCAGCCACCACCTCCTTATGTTTGGGGGTGACTGCAGCCTATGAGGATTGTAGGTGCTGGGCCACAGTGTCCAAGTTCAAATCCCATCATGCATCCTGGGAAGTGAACTTCCTGTCTTGGAATTTTAGCTTCACCTTCTGCAATGGCGCTGGAGGCCAGGAAGGGACAGCTGGCAGAGTGCCCACGGAAGGCCTCGCTCCAGGGCACAGGGAGCACAGGACCTCTGATTTGGCCCAGGTATGCTGGCTGTCACATCCTGGCCACCCTCCTTCTCTAGACTCCACATCAAACCTGTCATAGAACATGGCAGTCCAGACTCTTATACACCTGCCTCATGTTCCCTCTTCAAGCTTGGTGTAGGAGCTGGGTAAGTGGCTCAGTGGTAGAGCACTTGCCTAGCATGCTGGAAGCCCTGGGTTCGATTCCTCAGAACCACATAAGAGAAAAAGCCAGACGTGGCACTGTGGCTCAAGTGTCAGAGTGCTAGTGTTGAGCAAAAGCTCAGGGACAGTGCCCAGGCCCTGAGTTCACACCCCAGGACTGGCAAAAAGAAAAGAAAAGGAAAGGAAATAACCTGTGGTATCCAAGCTTGGTGCCAACTTCCCACCCTGTTGGTCCTCACGTCCCTGCGACAGGCTTTCCTGTTTGGGAGTTGGCGCACTACTTTCTGTCCTTTGGGGTTCACAGACCTGCTCAAGTTGGATCTGGGGACTCTGCTGTATAACTATGCAGCGGAAGTGCCACCTCTCCTCGGCCCCCTCAATCCTTCACTGGGGTCCGCATTTGAACTTGAGACATTACCACAATCTGAGGGGTGGTGGGGAGTTTTGTCTGTCTACCCCCATGCATGCTGAGTCCCAGCCGACTCTTCCTTCCACCCATGGGTGCCACGCTGTGGGCCTTCCTGCCTCTCTCGTTAGTCCACACTCAGCTCCCCCAGGGCAGGCTCCAGGAGCCAGGACTTACACACAGACCACATGGAACTGGAGGTAACCACATACCTGGGCCCCAGAGGGTGACGCACTGCTGCTCGTGGGTCTGGCAGACGCCATTGTAGCAGTAGCCATCCACTCCCTGGCACGGGTGCCCGTCGTGCAGGTAGACGTTGGCTGGGCAGTGAGGACTGGCTCCTGTGCAGAACTCCGGGAGGTCGCAGGAGTTGCTGGTGCTCCTACACGACGTTCCTGCCGGCTTCAGCTAGAAGGACAGGGTGGCTGATAGCATGCGTGCCCAAGGGGAGGGGGGTGCTCAGGGGCAGAGCAGTGCAGCCTGTGGAGTTGTGTGAGGATTCAGGGAAGCCCCTGAATTGGAGAGTCTTGCTCTGGGGTTTACCTTTCTCCTGTAAGGGAGGTGGCCAAATGACTGACCTGCAGCATCAGGGTTTCCTGACAGGCAGCCAAGCTGCTGGCTGGCTCTGCCACCTCCACCACCTAGTTCTCTAGCTGTCAATACCATCTCTCTTTTCTTTTCTCTATCTTCTTTTCCTCCTCTCCTTCTCTCCATTCCTGCCTCTTTCCTTTCCCTCCTCCCTCCCTCCCTCCCCGCCGCTCTGCTGGTACTGGGGCTTGAACTCAGGGCCTGAGCGCTGTCCCTGAGCTTTTTTCACTCAAGGCTGGTGCTCTGCTACTTGAGCCACACCTCTGCTTTCAGCTTTTTGCTGGTTAGTTGGAAACAAAGAGTCTTATGGACTTTTCTGCTTAGGCTGGCTTTGAACCTTGAGCCTCAGATCTCAGCCTGCTGAATAACTAGGAGTACAGGTATGAGTTACCAGTGCCCAGCAATCCATCCCAGGTTCTCGAGTGGTCATTTGTATTTTCAGTTAACCTTTGTGAGCAAATTATAGTAAAAAGTAATTTGGAGGGCATAACTGCAGTATCAGTATTACAGAACTACAGCAAACCTCTTTATGGGATGAGTTAGAGTTGAAGGAAAACAGAGGTAAGCGAAGGATGGGGGTGGTAAATGCATTTGAGCCCCTCTGACCACTGCTTTGTCTTCTTGCTTTGTCAGAATAGCTTGTCTGAGGCTAGCCAGCTGGAGACCTTTGAGCTCTAGCCTTGGTTCCCTACACACCCATCAGCACAGAGAGAAAAGACCCCTGCCAGTTTCTGAAAGGTCTGGAATTTGGAAGGAGTAGTAGAAAAGTCACTAAAGTGGATTGCATCCAGGCATTGCCACAGGCCCTCCTTGCCCTCTCTCCCTGCAACCCTCTGGAGCCTCTCCTGGTTTAAGCTCAGCCTTTTCCTATCTTCCTTCAGCCCCTTTCTGGCACCTTCCATCCCCAGTAGCTGGGGATGCCAGGGAATGCCAGTTTCTTACAGCATTCCTCAGAAGTTCATGACCATCAGGAGGGGACAAAGGAAGGCAGAACATAAAACATTACGATGCACTTCTAAATCACTGTGCTCCGGCGGGCTGGTAAGAGGCAGTTTCCTGTAAGCTGCATGCCAAGATCAATCGCTTAAGGAACAAGAAAAAAAACTCTACCCTTGGAACCGCTGAATTAAAAGCTCAGACTTCTCTTCTGTCACCTATCAGCTCTGAATAACGAGACAAACAATGAGACTGCCAAAGCAAACGCAATCTCAGCAGCACAAAGGGCCCAAGCGTGAAGCTGCCCCTCTTGGCTCTCCTGGTCAGACTGAGCATCTTCTGTTTGGAGGACATTACGATCAGGATGTTTCCATGAGCCCCCATGGGACGCCATGCACAGATTCTTGGCCTCCAGTGTTCTTAGCACCAGGCGGGGAGACTTGGAGTGATGAGGTGGAGTCTGCTTTTCCTTGAATGGCTATTGTCACCGAGATATGCCTCTACAAGATCAAAGGATCAGTAATGTTGCACTACAGATGCTTGCAGCCCGTAAGTAAAGAATGCATCCCAGATGATTGGCAATGAACAGGAATCATCAGTGTGGTAGGACAAACACTGGCCCTGCGTCAGATTCAATCACCCACACCGGTCAGTGACCTTGGGGCCAAGGTCACTGTGTGAGCTCACCTGGCAGTCTTCACAACACAGCCCGTGGGCGCACACGGCCTCTGGCTTCAGGGTGCAGGTGGTGGCGTTGCAGCAGCGGTTGGTACATTCCTGGCAGAGAGATGAGCTCTGTCAAGCAGGGTTCTACAGAGCACTCCTTAAATGACTGCCAAAGAACCAGAGGGCCTGACTCCTTTCTTTAAATCATCATCTTTAAGTAGTTGCACAAAGGTGTTTAAATTCAACATGTCCATTTATGAGTACAATGCATCTTGACCTGTGTCATCTTTCCATTGCTTGTCACCATTTCTCCCAACCCAAAGGTCATTTTCATCTGTAGGAGAGCCAGGTATTTATGTGGCTCTGTGCATCTTTGGGAGAAGTTGCTAGCACTCCATTGCCCTGCATGGGAGGGGAAGAAGTTGGAAGGGGAGGGCAGGCTGCATCCAGGAAGCCCTGGTGGCCAGCAGCCCAATGGGGCTCCTAGAGAAACCTCCATGCAGGGCTTACTCCAGTGAGCTACATCAGGATCAGCAGAAGACTTTGAAATTACTCCTCACAAATACATATGGCCAGTGGCTCACACCTGTAACCCTAGCTACCCAGGAGGCTGAGACCTGAAGAATCTGTTTGACTCCAGCCAGGATAGAAAAGTCTGCAAGACTTCATCTCCAATTAACCAGCAACATTCCAGGATGGAGGCATGGCTCTTTGGTGAACAAGGCCAGATGATAGACATAGTCACAAAGACACATGGATGTGTACAATGTTTCATTCTTTCTTCTTTTTTTTTAAATGAGCCTTTTTCACAGGTGCTGGAGGTCAGTGCTAGAGCAGTTGCTTCGCATGAATCAGGCCCTAGGTGTGGATCTTAGCCTCAGCACCTTTCCTCCCCCTACTCACTTACACACCCACAGGACCACGTCTAATACAGGATTATAGGATGCATTGACAAGAAACAAAGTCAAACCAACTTCTTATTATTTTTTGTTGGTCCTGGGCCTTGAACTCCGGGCCTGGGTGCTGTCCCTTAGCTCATTGTGCTCAAGACTAGCATTTGAGCTACAACACCACTTCTGGCTTTTTCTATGATTAAGTGGAGATAAGAGTCTCATGGATTTTCCTGCCCAGGCTGGCTTTGAACCTCGATCCTCAGACCTCAGCCTCCTGAGTAGCTAGGATTACAGGCGTGAGGCACCAGTGCCTGGCTTCAAACCAACTATTCTCGATTCCCCATTTCCTGCAATCTCACCAATACAGGCAGACTGTAGGTCTAGCATACTCTGGTTGGGGACTGGTTATTAGAACCACTGAGAGGAAAGAAGGTGGCTAGGGCTGGGACCTAGATTTTCAAGGACTAAGGAGATCAAATATAATGCATGGTCCTACCTGAAACAAAACACAGAAAGAAAGCTGTTTAGTAGGCTAAACTTTGGAAGTACCCATGCTGCTTTTCCAACCAAAAGAAACAGGGCATTGACAGCTTTTGCTAGTTCTCAACAGAAGGCCTGCCCCATTTATGCAGTGAGTTTATGAAGCCTGTGAACTTTAGAACATTCCAGTAACTCGATGTTTCCACATTTTAGAAGAAGCTGTAATTATCAGAGGATGGAACAGACCATAAAGTCTTTAATCCTGCTCAAATTGTCAGTGTTCTCTTATCCAGTCTACAATGTGCTCAGAAGAATTTATGTACTACTGGCTAGGGAGAAGCTAATTATATGCAAGTTTAACAATATAATAGTTTACTCCTGAAAATGATCATCTTTTATGTATGAATCTATCATGGACCTCATAAATGCTATTAATACGTTTTGTCAGCAGTCAGGAAGAGTGAGGCTAGCCCAAGATACCTGTCCTGTATTGTCGGAAGCTCAATGAATTACGCAATCATTGTTTATCATTTACTCTTATCCTAGTGAATTCCAACGCTATTAAGCTTTTAAATTTGTTTGAGGGCTTTATAAACATCTGGAATGTGAAATATATACAGCAAGATAAAACTGCCAACCAGAAGTCAGAGCTGAAACTTTCATGACAGTAAGGGTTTCTAGCTTATAGACTTTACATTTCCCGGAAAGTTTAGAAACTTCTTTTTTCGAAGCTCATTTATTGCATTCCCAATGAATGTCTTCATATGTACAGACATGGTGTTTGGCTTCTTATGGTTTAAATGGCTCTGCTAATGATACATTTAGCAAGTTAGAGATTTCCTTGAAACACTGTGTTAAATCAGCCATTAGCCATCTTCATCCTAAGGCCTCTTAGGAGTCCTCCCTGCCAGATCACCGAAGAACAGAAGCAGTGGCCTTAATGAAATTGCAGCCAGAGTAGAATGCCTTTGACTTCAAAGGGGATTGATAATGTGAGAATAAGCAAGTTCAAAAGATGTGTGCAAGCTACTGGCATCCTACTGACTTTAAAGAAGGAGATAAGGCTGCTCTCCCAGCCCTGTTAGCGGGGAGAGTGAGCGAGGTGCCAGGATAGCCTTACACTGATATAAATCCAAGGCTTGTACCAGAGGGCTGTGCCGCGAGCCGTTTAACTACCCCATATCTATTCCTTCTGCAACACCACATTTCTCAGAAGAGACAAATCCTTTTAATGCTGATACATTTATTATTTTAGTAGTCAATAGAGCAGCAACATAGCCAATGAATACTGAGGCTCTGAAGAAGAAAGACTAATGAAACCATTAGAGAATCCTCTGCAAGGCCCTAATTGTCATTCTCTGGCTGTAGATAGCAGACATAGATCCTTAGTCACCGAGAGCTGGTTGGAACAAGCGTGCTGCGATGGACGGGTTCTGGGAGCAGGGCAGCAGGGGCCGGGTCCAGCTGTGTGCTGGGGGAGGTCATCATGACTCGCCTGCTCACCGGTTTCCCGGTGTTGTAACACACTGGGAGCAGAGCAGGCCAGAGAGCACAGCCGTCGCTCCCATAAACAGTAGAAGGAATATCTGCGGGCTCTGGGCACTGGGGAAGGGGAAAGAGCTCCGATAACAAGTCTGACTGCAAGTCTGTGCAAAGCAGTTTGGAAACCGGAAATGGGCTCTTACACTGCTAGGATCGGGAGAAGCTTGAACTGTGAGAAGTAAAATGTAAAACACATAAATAAAAAGCGAGGAAGAGAAAAAAGGCTCCCAGTAACTTTAAAAGATTTCTTGGGAAGAAGAGGCTTGGAAGAGGGGGAGGAGAGTTCTCTTAAAATCTTGAGAATGCACCAGATGCCATGTAAAGACCCTATACAAGGAGAACTTGGCTCTCTCCTGGGAGGAGTCTGTAGTAAGCAAAGCAGCCCTGCAGAACACTGCACTACTCAGAGGGACTTTAGACAGCATGAAGCCTTCATGGAGATAAAAATGGGACTGGCAAGTGTTAGGTACCGAGGCATAAGCTGGCATAGTGGTAGCGGTGATGATAATGGGGGTAGCAGTGATGGGTTTGATGGGTGGCGATGGGGTGGTATCAGTGGTGACGCTTGTGGTGATGATGTTGGTGTGGATGGTGTTATTGGTGGTGGAAGTGGTATGATATTCAGGTGGGATGATGCTGGTGGTGGTCATGGTGGTGGTGATAATGGTAATGATGATAGTGGTGATGGCGATGATGGTGGCGATGGTAGTGGTGACGGTAGGGATAATGATGCTGGTGGAGATGATGCCTGGTTGGGTGAATGCCTGTTCATGGAGTTGTTTCAAACCTGAGAGTCCATGACTCCAGGAAGACCTGACTTCTTATCCTTCATAAAGCATCACAAGTCCTATGAAGTCCGCATGGCTTCTTTTCAGGAATATGGGTAACCTAAGCTAGTCGCTTCCCGTGACAGTCTCACATTTGCCTTCACGACGCTGCAGAGGCTCTGCCACAGTTGACCAGACGTGCGCCTACCGAGCAACCGCACCGCCCACCAGAAGCGGCACGAGCCGCCGCCACTGCAGCCCAAGGCCTCATTATTGATAATACTCAACTGTCACACCCATGCCTCCTCTCGCCCTCTACACTTAGCTACTCCCAGCACTCCTCAGTGAGCTGTCAGACCAAGGCTGACCGTGGAAGATGTTGATTAGTGATGCTTGGGGTGCTCTGTCTCAGCAGTCCCCCTCCCAACCCCGAGATCCCCTTTCAGAGCATTCCTCCAAACAACTCCTCCTGAGCGCTCACTAAGCCCATCTGTGCGTGTAGCTTTGCCTGTCTTGAACGCTGTCTACCATTTTGGCTTGCATTAGCTCCAAGGGAGGGAATCCCACACACAGCCTGCTTGCTCTGCAAACCTCTTGCTTTGATTTATTCTCAGCACAACCTCCCCTAAGCTTTGAGGGGGCCTTGCTTTACTAGGAGGCCTCTGCATCCTCTTTCCCTTTCCTTTCTTGCCACGAATCAGAGATTAAAAAGTAGCTGTTAGACTTTTTAATGTTGATTAGCTTTATCTTGGGCTGTACACAAACAAGAAATTTTCCTCAAAATGACTGGAAAGCAGGGTTAAATGAGCTCTGTGCTGGATGAACACTTCTGCTGCTTTTGCTCATTGCTTCTGGAAGCTAACAAGCCGAGAGGCAGAAACACCCCAGCCTCAGGCCATGCACGCAGAGGAGGCTGCAGCAGAATTTCAACTTGACAGGAAGTTCTTTGCTGAAAATGAGTGCTGCTAATTCAAATTCCCCTTTAGTAGTGTGCTTTACAAAGAGGAAGAAATGGTGCATATTGGCTCTTTGAAGCTAGAATGAATGCCAAGGCTTTCTTCTCTGTCAAACTCAGAGCTAAATGCTTTTTTATTGTTCTTGTCTTTATCTTACTGGGAATATCACACCCTTCAATAGAGAAGGTTCTTTATCTATTTAAACAAAATCATACGACTTATTCTGGGCACTAGTTAACATTCAGGAAAGCCACCCAAGTGCAGCGGGCTTTGCTGAAGATGGCCATGTAGGATTTTTCCACCCCGGCTCTCTAGCATGTTCATTCTGATGCCACTTTCTCCAAGTTCCCGCTTCTTCACCCAGCCAAGGACATACAATGAATGTACTGGAAACAGCTTCCTTACCTCTGGCTCCCCACAGTCACATTCCTCTCCCTCTTCAACATATCCATTCCCACACTTCCGGCCCCCGAAGGCTTGCTTGATTTCCGGCAGGTTGAAGAGGCATACCCCCATGCCTTTGTCCAGGCTGGTCTCCAGGTCCTTCCTGCTGCAGCTGCTGAACACCATGGGAAACGGGAACCTGGGAGGCAGATCCCCAGAGAGTCGTCAGCATGTGGCACGGCCTTGCCTGCCTCGGCCCCCTGTGACCGGTGCCTCCTGCTGGCAGCACCTGCCCAGATGTTCAGCACTAGATCAGGCACATTCAGACAGAGTGACACTCATTCCCGCATCCTGTACCGTGCATCATCGCCCAGGAAGCAGTGTTAGCAAAGAAACTACCAACAGCTTTCAAATCAACGGCTTTAGACAATCTCATCAAAAGACCTCACTGATAGTCCTGATGGAACTGATACAACAGGAAGTGAATTCCTAGCACAACATGATCATTGTTGATCAATGTCCAGAAGGAAAGGATACCCTGACCCGTCTCGTGGTTCTGGGAATGGAAGTCGGGCACAGCTGGTGGCAGCACTCGGTGCTCTGAAGGTGGAGATGCCAGCGGGGCTGGGAGAGAATGGAGATGGACCAGAAATGCTCTTGCCTCTGAATTCCAGGACTCTACGGGGGTATGGCAGAGTCCACCATCACCCCAGAAAGTCCTGCTCTTCTCTCTGCCCGGCCTAGAAGGGTTTTGCAGGGCCTTGCACCTGGGAGGGCCGGTGACTAATCCCCGATGATGGAACATGGGGAGAATGACATGGATCTGTGTGGACCTGTGCTGTTGAAGTGTTTGTCCCTGCCGAGTCCTTCTTGCTCTTTCTGCCAGCTGAGATCAGAAAACTCCAGGAGATAAAGGACTCAGACATGGTAGCTGGTCCAGACTTGCTATGTAAGGAGAACTGGCTGCAGCCTCGACCCCAGCATGTCATAAGCAAAAGAAACACAGTTCTAATCTGATGTGCAGCTGGCAAGACAGGGCTTCTCTGGCAGCAGTGACTGGGCATGGTGTGGTTTGAATGCGTCCCCACAGGTCCATGCTGGGAGATTGGTCCCCAGTGCATGGATATTGGGACGTGATATATCGGCCTATAACAAGTGAAGCCTAGAGGAAGGTAGTTCGGTCATGGTTACCTAACCCATGGTTGCCTTGTAGTTCTTGAGGGCTCCTGCTTAATTCCCGTGAGAGGGAGGTGTTATCCAAAGAGCAAGTTGGGGACTGGGAAGGTGGCTTAGTGGAAGAGTGCTTGCCTAGCATGCATAAAGCCCTGGGTTCGATTCCTTAGGACCACATACACAGAAAAAGTCAGAAGTGGTGCTGTGGCTCAAGTGGTAGAGTGCTGCTAGCCTTGAGCAAAAGAAGCTCAGGGCAGCGCCCAGACCCTGAGCTCAAGCCCCAGGACTGGAAAAAGAAACAAACAAACAAAAGCAGCAAAGAGCAAGCTGGCCCTGAGTCTCTCTTGCTTGCTTCCTGTGTTACCATGCAATCTTTATACACATTCCTGCCACTTTGATCCCACCGGCTATGAGGCCCTGGGAACAGAGGCTGCCATCTCGCCATTGGATCTCCATAACTATGACCTAAATAAATGTCTTCTCTTCATGTGCTAGCCAGCATCAACTGGTTTGTTTTACCAACAAATACCTAACTAATATTGTTAGCCATTCTCTTTAGCAAACGCATCTTCCCATGTCTTAAGGCAACAAGGGCCATAGGAGAGGCATGCCAGGAGCCCGGAGGTTTGATCATCCAGAGAGGAAGTGGGCCCCAGCAAAGCTCCCCACAGACACATTTACAGGACTTCATAATTGAGTGTCAATCAGTTGGCCAAACCAACACACGTTGCTACCTTTCCCTAAGATGAGTGGTCTGCCCCACAATGGCGTTTGGCAGTCTCAAGGTGGTGATGGCTTCTACAGTCAAACCCAGCGACACTGCTCCATGGCCCCAAAGTGCTTTCTATCAATCAGGTTATGAACCGCGAAATACAGTATGAATCCACACATCAGTTAATGAAGAAGGTCTTGCTCTGTTGGAGGTAAGGGCAATACATGAGACTGACTGGTTGTGCGGGAACCACATTCCTTTTGTAATCTTTATACCTTTCCTCAGCAGACTGATTATTCCTGGTATCAAAATGAGGCTGAACAGCCACCACCAATTACAGAGTGTAACTTTCTATTTAGAAAGGCTTTGCATGGAAGAGACTGGTACGTTACTTGGGAATTGTAATGTAAAGGAACAAGCTTCATGATGGTGTAGGTTCAATGTCCCCGTGTGTGAGTTCCTAGGATGCGCGTGTGTGTCTGTGGGTTGATCCAGGAACCTCTCTCTCACTCAATCACGCGCAGGTTGCTGCTGTGATGATAAACCTGGATCAGCTCATCCTGGAAGAGACCAGCTCTCTAGACAATGTTCAAGTCCATTAGGAAAGGCCCGAGGGGTTAGTAGCATATCCCAGAAAGGACTCCGAGGAAGACTGATAGTAGTTTAGAAAGGTTAGAAGAAAGGCTGTTTTGAAGCAGGCTGTTCCACAAAGGAACCACATTTTCACAGAGGGACGAGGCCACACCATTCATTAAGCTTGGACAAGTTTCCTCCATGCCAGTGTCTTCCAAATAATGCATACTTAAAAACAAATTGTTGTTGGTTGTAGGGCTTGAACTCAGGGCCTGGGTGCTGTCCCTGAGCTCTTTTGCTCAAGGCTAGCATTCTACCACTCTGAGCCACAGCTCTACTTCCTGTTTTTGAGTGATAAATTAGAGATAAGAGTCTCTCATGGACTTTTCTGCCCAGGCTGTCTTCAAACCGTGATCCTCAGATCTCAGCCTAGGATTATAGTTGTGAGCCACCGACGCCTGGCTTTTGTTTTCAGGGAAGGGTTGACCTTGAAGAGAATGAACAGAAACATACAAACGGGGTCAGGTTTTAGTGCAGGAACTAAAGGGCAGAGTTTTGGGAGGAAAGAACAGATCGCCTTTGGCACAAAGCATCTTTCTCTATGAACTAGGTTTTGTCAGATGGAAGTGGACTGGTCTATGTAACAATAAATTTCTATTTGCTTTAGCCTCTTCTTATTCTGATGAAGGATAAACCCTAAGTGCTTTTAAAATCCTCTCCCATTTAGAATTGTGGTGAATATTATTCACCCAGGGCACATGGATTTATTCATCACACAGGAAGGATGGGAGGGTATCAGGTCCCCAACCTGCTCCTGTTTAAATCACGAGGAGCAACGTCTTCCTCAGCTGCTAGGAAACATCTCAGCAAATCCACCGACTCTGCCAGGTCCTTGCTCAGGGGGGCGCAGGCACAGCACAGAGAGGGCCTGCATCACACAGCTTGGGTTTGCTAGGACACCACAGGCACGAAGAAAATTCCCCGGGATGGCTGTCCACGGCTTGAGGCTTCTCCCCCTGCAGCCCAGAGCCTGCTTGCCTTTCTCCAGGACGCACAGCCCTTCCCCACGCACAGTACCCCTGCTCCTCTCGGAGGGCCCATCAGCACTCCCTCACTTCTACCTGAGGATGAAAAATACACTTTATTTTGGTAGTGCTGAGAACTGAACCCGCAGTCTCATGCATGCCAGGCAGACGTTCTTCTGAGACGGGATGAGAATGTTTTCTAAGTCTTTCCTGACCTCTTGCTGCAGGACGGTGGTGATTTACTCTGATGCACTATCCCCGAACCCACTTTGAGCATGTAGAGGAAGACACACAGAGCAGCCTGTCCCTCAGCATACAATGGTTCTGAAAAGATTTAGTCAACACTAATGAGGCACCAAACTTGCTCTCGCTTGGTAGCAGAAGGGCACAGAAACACAGTGGGCAGACAGACAGTGGAGAGGAATACAGGTCAGGAAGGAAAGGAAGTAAGACAGCAAGGCAAGAAGACACACCTTGAAGAGGATGAGCCCCAAGACAAATTCAAAGCAGAAATATGCTCTGAAATATGGGGACCTCTTTTGTGAGTCACTTTTGTCCTTTTCTCTAATACTTAACTACCAGGAATGCTTGGGACAAGTCTCCTGTGCTGATGGCAAGGTTAGAAATGGAGATAGAAAGCTGGGTGGTTGGATGGGGTGGGGTGAACCCACAACTTTTACAAGGAGGAGGCCAACAGGGCTGCTCCCCCAAGTCTAGCTCTCTTTGATTTTTTTTTTTTTGGCCTGAGACTGGTACTTGAACTCTAGACCTGATGCTTTCACTCACTGGCTAGCACTCTACCAACTGAGCCACGCCTCCAACTACAACTGGTCTAGCTGTCTCAAAATTGCTAGATGGACATGTTTAGAAGTTACTTTTTCTTGAACAAATCTGCAGTGAGGAAGTTCTTTTCCTGTAGGAACCTACCGTGCATTCACAGCTATGTTCTTGGGGAGGAACCACACGAAGCCAAGTTATCAACCCTGACAGAAGTTGGGGATTTATCTGATGTGCAAAGGCTCTCTGGAAAGGATTCCAGGACCACTGCTTTTCTTGTTGGAAATTAGGCAGGCAAAGCAGCTGTAATCAGGCTAGATTGGGCCGCAGGCTCGAGTTCTGCTCTCTCCAGGGCCTCTTTAGTTAGTGTGTGTGAGCTTCAGTCCCCTGACTCTGGACTTGGGCTGCCTGGAGTGATGGAGGAAGGGGAATGGAGTAGTTCAAGAACAGCTCGGGGTGGACTCAACAAAGTAACATGGAAAGCTGGCTTGTAGAAAACCAGGGTGGGGCCACCCAGGGCTTTACCTCCTTTAATCAACTGGGAAAGCTCCAAATCCACAGCTGAGAAATGACTAGATGCTAAGAGCGTCTTGGTCTGGGAAATCCAGTTGCTGACCTTCAGCTTCCCACTAGTTCTTGTTACAAACCAAAATGGGAGATTGAAGTCACAGACGGAACAGCTCTGGCAGCCCTCCTTACCTGGGCATGTGGCCCAGAGAGTGGGGGTGGGGTGGGGAAGAACCTTCTGGATGCCTCTTCTATCTGTGCTGCACTTAGCTCCGTTTTCACATCTCAAGTGGGGATCGCATCTCCTCTCTCTCTGAGGATGTGGACACCAGAGCTTCAACTGTGAACCTGAGAGTCTGCGAAGCTCTTAGCTCTGTTGAGATGCCAGCCACCAGAGTTCGGAGAGAAAAGCTGTCTTCTTCAGTCTTTTAT